TGCCCCCACCCCAATGACGTTCATCACTGCTGCAGTTGTTAATAATGTATACATTATGATTTATTTTTGTATTATTATTTATATTGTTTTATTTCACTTTGTCTCCACACCCCTCAATGGTAATTTAGTCTGACTGTTGTTATTATGTGTATATAGTACTATTTATATTTTCCTTATTATCATGTTCATTGTTTTATTTCACTTAGTCCTGCATGTTGGAGCTCGGAGTTCTGAGTCGGAAGATCTAGGATTGTACCCAATCCCAATTTTAACTCCGTCTCCCTCTCTCTCTTCGTCTCTCTCTCCCCCACAGCCCACACGCACAGGCACACAATATAGTTTACGTTAGTGTTGTAATGAGTCTCTTATTTGGTTACATATGTGTTCACTTCTTGTTACTTCTATTGTCAATTATGTTGTTAATTCGTTTTTTAATGTTGTTATCAATTTCAATAAACTTATTTTATGTACAAATGTATAGTTTTTCTTACATTTAGATTTCAGGTAGAATTTCACTGTACATTTACAGCATTATCCTGGCACCAGAGTTGCCAGCTTAATACTGTAATTTTGCTTTACAGTACAATTTTCCTTCCTGTAAAATGTCTTTACAGTAAGGAAAATAGTACTATAAAACATATTACAGCATCTCTGCTGTAAAGCAAAATTACAGTATTAAGCTGGCCATGTGGTGCCAGTATAATGCTGTACATTTACAGGAAAATGTTTTACAGTACTGGTATATACCAGCTGAATGACTGGTGGTGCTAGTTGTGTAACCCACTTACAAATGCTGCCTGCCAACGATTGTACGAATGTGTTGAGGGTAAAAAGTCATGAAAACATAATTGAGCCATAAAAACTGCAGCAATGTTATTTCTTACCAGAGATGAGTTTGGTAGTGTCTTGCCTCTGTGGTTTTGCCTCTGCTGTCAGCAACTGATGGAAAAGTGGGTGACTTACTCCGTTTTGTGGCAGAGGTCCTGTAGGCCTTAGAGAGGTCTGAATGGGCCTAGCCGCCATTAAATAAAAGGTTTCACTCAAATCCATTTAGACAAGATTAATGTATCAATCAGAGGATTTCTGATTAGTTGAAAGAATACAACTTCTCATCATTGCTGATGAATGCATTTGGCGCTCAGTCAATTTAAGATTGGTGGTACAAAATAATGGGGAAAAGCACAGGCGTTTCAAAATATGTAACTTATAAAATTGCAAATATTGTCAAATGTATGGGAAAATGAGAGTTGATATACTCGCGACTGACAAGTGGCTGGCGTAAGGCCCAGCATGAGGACTCTATTACGGTTTAAGACATTATTTGCATTGCTGACCATTTGTGGGCTATCACAGGAGTCAAACAAACCTTATCTGTGGCAATCTCGAGGAAGAGAGGTTCCCACAGAAGTCCTGGTAGCACGGACACTGTTGGAGTTGTGAAGACAGATGAAATTGACAAAATTAGTGTTACTGTGTGAATTGAATTGTCATGTTTGGATTGTTTTAAGAGTTCATCAAGAGCTATGAATTTGTATATGTTTTATTGTACTGTAAGTGCTATGGATGTATTGTACCAGGGAAACTGTTCGTCGGATAGCGGATAGTTCAAATAGGAGTGACACAGGGGTGCGCTCCTATAATTTCAAATGAGTTGACTACATTAGAATCTGGGTGTGTTGTTCCTGTCTTTTGTTTTTACTAGCAAGGTGCAAAGAAATGTTAATTCAGGTTGGGGGTGAGTGTCTGCTTGAAATTGGTTAAATTCCTCCAGAGACGCACAGGGCCTGTTGCATTTATTCACATAATATTGGAGTCAGATTGATGAAGTTAGTTTATTATTATATTCAGCATAATTTCTACATACAGTGAGGGAAAAAAGTATTTGATCCCCTGCTGATTTTGTACGTTTGCCCACTGACAAAGAAATGATCAGTCTATAATTTGAATGGTAGGTTTATTTGAACAGTGAGAGACAGAATAACAACAAAATAATCCAGAAAAACGCATGTCAAAAATGTTATAAATTGATTTGTATTTTAATGAGGGAAATAAGTATTTGACCCCTCTGCAAAACATGATGAGGTCAGACGTTTCTTGTAGTTGGCCACCAGGATTGTACACATCTCAGGAGGGATTTTGTCCCACTCCTCGTTGCAGATCTTCTCCAAGTCATTCATGTTTCGAGCCTGACGTTTGGCAACTCGAACCTTCAGCTCCCTCCACATATTTTCTATGGGATTAAGGTCTGGAGACTGGCTAGGCCACTCCAGGACCTTAATGTGCTTCTTCTTGAGCCACTCCTTTGTTGCCTTGGCCGTGTGTTTTGGGTCATTGTCATGCTGGAATACCCATCCACGACCCATTTTCAATGCCCTGGCTGAGGGAAGGAGGTTCTCACCCAAGATTCCACGGTACATGGCGCCGTCCATTGTCCCTTTGATGCAGTGAAGTTGTCCTGTCCCCTTAGCAGAAAAACACCCCCAAAGCATAATGTTTCCACCTCCATGTTTGACGGTGGGGATGGTGTTCTTGGGGTCATAGGCAGCATTCCTCCTCCTCCAAACACGGCGAGTTGAGTTGATGCCAAAGAGCTCGATTTTGGTCTCATCTGACCACAACACTTTCACCCAGTTCTCCTCTGAATCATTCAGATGTTCATTGGCAAACTTCAGACGGGCCTGTATATGTGCTTTCTTGAGCAGGGGGACCTTGCGGGTGCTGCAGGATTTCAGTCCTTCACGGCGTAGTGTGTTACCAATTGTTTTTTTGGTGACTATGGTCCCAGCTGCCTTGAGATCATTGACAGGATCCTCCTGTGTAGTTCTGGGCTGATTCCTCACCGTTCTCATGATCATTGCAACTCCACGAGGTGAGATCTTGCATGGAGCCCCAGGCCGAGGGAGATTGACAGTTCTTTTGTGTTTCTTCCATTTGCGAATAATCGCACCAACTGTTGTCACCTTTTCACCAAGCTGCTTGGCGATGGTCTTGTAACCCATTCCAGTCTTGTGTAGGTCTACAATCTTGTCCCTGACATCCTTGGAGAGCTCTTTGGTCTTGGCCATGGTGGAGAGTTTTGAATCTGATTGATTGATTGCTTCTGTGGACAGGTGTCTTTTATACAGGTAACAAGGTGAGATTAGGAGCACTCCCTTTAAGAGTGTGCTGCTAATATCAGCTCGTTACCTGTATAAAATACACCTGGGAGCCAGAAATCTTTCTGATTGAGAGGGGGGGATTGAAGGAGTGGCTCAAGAAGAGGCACATTAAGGTCCTGGAGTGGCCTAGCCAGTCTCCAGACCTTAATCCCATAGAACATCTGTGGAGGGAGCTGAAGGTTTGAGTTGCCAAACGCCAGCCTCGAAACCTTAATGACCTGGAGAAGATCTGCAAAGAGGAGTGGGACAAAATCCCTCCTGAGATGTGTGCAAACCTGGTGGCCAACTACAAGAAACGTCTGACCTCATCATGTTTTGCAGAGGGGTCAAATACTTATTTCCCTCATTAAAATACAAATCAATTAATAACATTTTTGACATGCATTTTTCTGGATTTTTTTGTTGTTATTCTGTCTCTCACTGTTCAAATAAACCTACCATTCAAATTATAGACTGATCATTTCTTTGTCAGTGGGCAAACGTACAAAATCAGCAGGGGATCAAATACTTTTTTCCCTCACTGTAATGGTTGGATGATTTCTACACCTAACAGAAATACCAAAATAATGATTTTAGTGCAACTTTCCCCTTGTGTATCTTTTACGTCGTTGTTGTTTTAGATTGTTTGTACTCAGAGTATATAACTTTATAGGGGATCACTTTGGGATAGATTCTCTAGGTGGGCTTTTACTGTCTACAACAAAATTGTCATAGACATAAATCTGGAGTAGACCATTTAAACAGAACTGGTGGTGCATTGGGTTTGTTCACCTTTCAGCCCTCTACTCTTGCTCGTCATTCCTATGTCACTTAAACATATGATGTAATACCTTCTACAAACCAACAGAAGGAGACGTGGCAATTTAAAGACGCCACCACGACCTGAGAAGAGTTTTCACTAGATAAAACAGCCAAAACGTCCAGAGAATGGACAATCACAGCAGATTATAAAGACCAAGCCTTTACAACGTATATTACCCAGCTTCTGCTTTAGGCAGGTAGAGTCAATTAACAAGCACTTCCTATAACTGGATACACAGATTAATGTTTCCTACTAGTTTTGGTTGTCATGACAAGTTAACAGGGGCATTTCCTGAATATTAGAATAATTGAATAGGATCTCTATGTTTCTCACCCTCTCAATGATGTAGGTAGGAGAACACACCCAGCCCACACTTCAATACACTGAATCCATTTATACATTTCTATGCCTTTCAAATCATATGAAGGATTTGTTCAAAAAAATGTTTTGTGAAACAAACTATTTTTTATTATTCAGATTTGATCATGTTTACAGAGCTACAATCAAAACCTAATAAACATTCATCACTGTCTGTATTTTGATTTGTATTCCTGTTACTGGTATGTTCTTATAGAGAGGGTCAAGAAACCAATCAGTATTGTGAAATAGCTCAAACCCTATGGAAATAAAGACGTTGAAAATCTCAATAAATGAAAGAGCAACCCCATGTGGAGAAACACTGAAAGTCCCACACTCGTATTGTATCCTCAGATTACCCTCAAGACACAATTGCAACAGACAGCTGGCGAAGTGTGAAACAAGCCATTGTTAAATACTGGTTATTTTATTGTGCATATTTAATATTTAGTAAAAACCCCTCTGAATCTCCGAAGCCAAAGATAATAAACAAACGCCTTGTAAAAGCCAAACACAAAGCCACAGCCATAATAAGAACCATACAGCTACATTAAGCTAACAAATATAAGCAGTCACCTGTTCTGCTACATTGGGTTAAAATGTTAATATTTTGCTGGAACCTTTGACAGACTGACTACCATTGGCCTCTGAGCCAGCTGACTTCCACATTCTTCTTGTTGTGTTCACACGTTAGCATAGACTGCATCATCTCCACCATCACACTGGTATGGGTCGCCAACCTCTTCAGCCTACAGGAAACCAGATAAGAGATATCGTCAACAACAACCACACCTCTATAGTTTTTTATATCCTTTGTATTTAGTGCAAAGTTCTTCTCAGATCTCAGATATCTACTGTAAATGTCTGCAGTAGGCCTACAGTACATACCTCCATGTTGCCATATAGGTGATCGTTGGTGAAGTAGTTTGTGTGGATTTCATTGCTGGTGTCTTTCTGCACTTTCCTTTGGATAGAGTTAGGGCCACTCTCAGATGCATTCTCTTCATACGATCAGACACAATAAGAGTGAATGTAAGCTAATGGTCTTTAGCAACTCAGCAGGATGTATACATTTTGATCACAGATAGAACAGCCTGTACAAAAATACCTTGATGTTAAGGGATCTGTGGAAGCACACTTGGATGCATCCATGTCCTGCTTTATGGTTACTGGCTGGTCACTATGACTCCTCCCACTGATGAGAAAAATAATGCTAAGTTATTCAAACAGAACAAAACAGCTAAAAAGAAACACAAATCTACGTAGCTCCCTCCAAAAAAATAAATAAAATAGTAACTTACCCCTTCTTGGTCAACAGGCAAGCTGACATGATAATTAGTATTACTACCACCACCAATGCAGCAATACCAATTGAAATGTACAGCATCAACATCTTATCTGTCAAAAAATAAATAAATATGATTTATTAATGTACAAATAATAACCTTTATGATGTTAATATAGTCTGTAATACTTCATTTATGATACCCTTCCCCCACTGTTTCCCTTACCATTTGTGGACACAGTGAAGGACAAGGTGGCATTGCCCTGTGTGTTAATGGCATGGCAGTGGATGGTCTCTGAGAAGCCTAGTGCCCTCTGTAGGGTCACCATGGTAACTGACCCATGCCTCTCCACTCTGGTACTGGGCAGGGTGGGCAGGGGTCTGGATGGAAGAGACCACTCCACGGTGCCGGGGGGCTCCGAATCCACAATGCACAGACAGGTTACCATGGAGATGTCTGAAGTGCAGGCGGAGCCCAATTTGATCTCAGGGGTGTTTGGGATGAGAATGAACATGTAGTGCTACATCCTGAAGAATATTGTCTTCATATTATATACACAGAAAGGGCACGTTTCTTATTGACAGAATGGCGGCATCTACTTACACTCTACATTGAGTTTCAGTGGACTGGATTGGCCTTGTCCCTCTGTGCTGATGGCAGTGCAGAAGAGGGCTTCAGTGAGTCTGGTCACATTCTCCAGTGTGATGGTAGGTCCTGTGGTGGGCAGAGGCCGTCTGCTGTTGTGCCAGCGGTAGCTGTGGGCAGCAGGGTTACTATCACTGGAGCATCTCAGCTCTACAGAGTCTCCTTCCTTCACACTGGACACTCCCTCAACCTTCACATCCACTGGAGCATCTTTTAATAACTAATTACTATGTAATAAACATCTTAGGACAAATTCAGTAGATCAACCACATGCTTTAAATCTATTTAGATTTCAAAATGGAAGTTTGCCAAATCCAGGCTGTGGAGAGCATGAAATCAACAAAGAGAAGAGAATAGTTATTGCAGTTATTTTCAGGTGTGCTTCCACCAGTTATTAGGTCTGTCCTTTCAGCACTATAATTTAAATCTACAAGAAGCTATAGCTATCATTAGGATAAATAATGGGAAACTATAATACAACATTTGAAATTCTCCTTGTCAATTCTTCCCCTGGGAACGTACTGCTCACTGCAATGGAGACTGTGTCAGGTATGTAGGAATACTTGTCATGGTCTTTGATTTCAACCCTGAAATAAAAGGGCTCTTGTCAATGCAATGGAGGGTGTCGATTCTGAGTGAGCAGTTCTTCTGCCGGAGGTCTCCCACCAGCTCTGTACGACCCTTGTAGTCTTCGATTACTTTGGAACTGTCTGGGTGGTATATAACATCATCAGTGTCTTTGAACCATAATGCACAATAATGCACAAGCCCTGCAGGCCGGATACTGAGCTGGGCACCTCAGCAGTCCATGACGAGGCATCAACTCCCATCACTCAAATAGCAGTGGGAAACATTTTAGTAAGAGGTGTTAGACAGTTAGACATTCAACTGACCACACTGGTTAGTTTTAACAAATACTAGCAAATTCAAATTATTTACTATATACAGTATATATGCCATACCTCCATGCCAAAAGCAGTGAGTAAGAAAATGCATGGTAATTTTTCAATCCCCATCACTTCCTCTCAGTGCTGGACCTGCAGGAAAAAGGAAAAAGTAACTCTCCATAGAATATTTAACATTACATATGAGACTTTCAATGTCTAAAATCAAATTACTTGCTTACTTTTGTCTTTCTTGCTGTAGTCTGATAAACACCCTCCTTCAGAGACTAATGGCATTGACATATAAAGAAAATATTACCATCCTGCTCACGCTACCCATTTCACATATAACGTGATTTCTTTATTTTTGAAATTCCTGTAGTTAGCTCTTCCCTTATGATTGTTACTGTACCTTTCCCCCATGTTAACTTTAGTCAGGGCTATTACTCACACTCAGTTAGTACCACTAAAACCACATGATTCAATCTAACTTTTTGTCATATGCATTGGAATTCACAATTTCCTTCAAACAATATATTTGTGATCAAGTCTTTCACATCCTGTATCATGATCTGTGCTGTGACCATTATAGATGTGATGATAATCACGTATATTATAGGGATTGGATGAAGCTCACCATAACTAAGCCAATATGACACCAATCTCTATGAAAATTCACAAATCAACTTGATTAGAAGTACACAACACACCTCTCAACAACAAAAAGGGGGAGGGGGGGATGAATTAGGCTGTTTGAGAAGGTTTGAATCCTAAGCAACCTGCCTACACATAGTTTGAAGTACAATATACCCTTTTTCAGTATACGACACACTGACGTCACGTACAGATGTGCACGACTCTTGGCGGCAGTAAGAAAGCCATCGCCATCTGTGCCCATTCAACATAGCCTAGATTTATGTTTTTATTACTTCTAAACAAAATGACTTTTTGGGGTTCTCATACGCTTACAGTGATGTTTTGATTCTTTCTTGAACATTCACTAAGATTATATTTGGTTGTGATCTTTGTAAAATAGCTATTTTGGATGCAGCAGTTGTTAGCTAGAATGCTAACGCTCATTGACATAGGCTGTAGCAAAAGCTAGCCAAAGAGCCATTTTACTGGTTGAAGTAAAAGTGTTTTTTAAGTATAACGCAGTTGATTTTGCGAGGATGACAAAATATAATATTAAGCAGGACATTCATACTAGCCATAAAATCCAATTATAATCCAAAAGTAGTATGAAATGTACTCATAAGCAAACATGTAAATAGAGGATTTTTTTTGCTGCCGTTCTATAAGATCTCCCCTTGTTCTGACAGCAACATGCACGCATCGCCCTCGTGCGGCAATATTTGTAAACACAGAAAGGGGTCTATACCAACATACACTACATTACCAAAAGTATGTGGACACCTGCTCGTCGAATATCTCATTCCAAAATCATTGACATTAATATGGAGTTGGTCCCCCCTTTGCTGCTATAACAGCCTCCACTCTTCTGGGAAGGCTTTCCACTAGATGTTGGAACATTGCTGAAGGGACTTGCTTCCATTCAGCCACAAGAGCATTAGTGAGGTTGGGGACTGATGTTGGGCAATTAGAACTAGCTCGCAGTCATTATTCCAATTCATCCCAAAGGTGTTTGATGGGGTTGAGGTCAGGGCTCTGTGCAGGCCAGTCAAGTTCTTCCACACCGATCTCAACAAACCATTTCTGTATGGACCTCGCTTTGTGCATGGGGGCATTGTCATGCTGAAACAGGAAAGGGCCTTCCCCAAACTGTTGCCACAAAGTTGGAAGCACAGAATCTTCTAGAATGTAATTGTAGGCTGTAGCGTTACGATTTCCCTTCACTGGAACTAAGGAGCCTGAACATGAAAAACAGCCCCATACCATTATTCCTCCTCCACCAAACGTAACAGTTGGCACTGTGCATTGGGCCAGATAGCGTTTTCCTGGCAACCGCCAAACCCAGATTTGTCAGTCAGACTGCCAGATGGTGAAGCGTGATTCATCACTCCAGAGTCCAATGGCAGCGAGCTTTACACCACTCCAGCTGATGCTTGGCATTGCGCATGGTGATCATAGGCTTGTGTACTGCTGCTCGGCCATGGAAACCCATTTCATGAAGCTTCCGACGAACAGGTCTCATGCTGACGTTGCTTCCTGTTTCTCCCATTCTTCTCTGCAGATCCTCTCCAGCTCTATCAGGTTGGATGGGGAGCGTCGCTGCACAGCTATTTTCAGGTCTCTCCAGAGATGTTCGATTGGGTTCGAGTCCGGGCTCTGGCTGGGCCACTCAAGGACATTCAGAGACTTGTGCCGAAGCCACTCCTGAGTTGTCTTGGCTGTGTGCTTAGGGTCGTTGTCCTGTTCGAAGGTGGATCTTTTGCCCGAGTCTGAGGTCCTGATCGCTCTGGAGCAGGTTTTCATCAAGGATCTCTCTGTACTTTGATCCATTCATCTTTCCCTCGATCTGACTCGTCTCCCAGTCCCTGCCACTGAAAAACATCCCCACAGCATGACGCTGCCACCACCAGACGTGACGTTTGGCATTCAGGCCAAAGAGTTCAATCTTGGTTTCATCAGACCAGAGAATCTTGTTTCTCATGGTCTGAGAGTATTTAGGTGCCATTTGGCAAACTCCAAGCGGTCTGTCATGTGCCTTTTACTGAGGAGTGGCTTCCGTTTGGCCTCTCTACTATAAAGGCCTGATTGGTGGAGTGCTGCAGAGATAGTTGTCCTTCTAGAAGGTTCTCCCATCTCCACAGAGGAACTCTTGAGCTCTGTCAGAGTGACCATCAGGTTCTTGGTCACCTCCCTGACCAATGCCCTTCTCCCCTGATTGCTCAGTTTGGCCGGATGGCCAGCTCTAGGAAGAGTCTTGGTGTTTCCAAACTTCTTCCATTTAAGAATGATGGAGGACACTTTGTTCTTGGGGACCTTCAATGCTGCAGACATTTTTTGGTACCCATACCCAGATCTGTGCCTCGACACAATCCTGTCTTGGAGCTCTACTGACAATTCCATCAACCTCATGGCTTGGTTTTTGCTCTGACATGCACTGTCAACTGTGGGACCTTATACAGACAGGTGTGTGCCATTCCAAATCATGTCCAATCAATTGAATTTACCACAAGTAGACTCCAATCAAGTTGTAGAAACATCTCAAGGATGATCAATGGATACAGGATGCACCTGAGCTCAATTTTGAATCTCAAAGCAAAGGGTTTGAGCACTTATATAAATAAGGTATTTCTGTTGTTGTTGTTTTTTATATTTGCAAAAATGTCTAAAAATCTGTTTTCACTTTGTCAATATGGGGTACTGTGTGTAGATTGATGAGGGGAACAATTATTTAATCAATTTTAGAATAAGGCTGTAACGTAACTAAATGTGGAAAAAGTGAAGGGGTCTGAAGACTTGCAGAATTACCTGTATAACACTCACAGCTTTCTAAGAAAACAAACATTGAAACCTCTATGGTCTGTTTACTGATTTTTTAGAGGCTATTTATATCCAGTGGGTCAGAAGTTTACATACACTAAGTTGACTGTGCCTTTAAACAGCTTGGAAAATTCCAGAAAATGATGTCATGGCTTTAGAAGCTTCTGATAGGCTAATTGACATAATTTGAGTCAATTGGAGGTGTACCTGTGGATGTATTTCAAGGCCTACCTTCAAAGTCAGTACCTCTTTGCTTGACATCATGGGGAAATCTAAAGAAATCAGCCAAGACCTCAAAAAAAATAATTGTAGGTCTGGTTCATCCTTGGGAGCAATTTCCAAATGCCTGAAGGTACCACGTTCATCTGTACAAACAATAGTACGTAAGTCTAAACACCATGGGACCATGCAGCCATCATACCGCTCAGGAAGGAGACGCGTTCTGTCATCTAGAGATTAACGTGCTTTGGTGCGAAAAGTGCAAATCTGTCCCAGAATAACAGCAAAGGACCTTGTGAAGATGCTGGAGGAAACAGGTACAAAAAGTATCTATATCCACAGTAAAACGAGTCCTATATCAACATAACCTGAAAGGCCGCTCAGCAAGGAAGAAGCCACTGCTCCAAAACCGTCATAAAAAAGCCAGACTACAGTTTGCAACTGCACATGGGGATAAAGATCGTACTTTTTGGAGAAATGTCCTCTGGTCTGATGAAACAAAAATAGAACTGTTTGGCCATAATGACCATCGTTATGTTTGGAGGAAAAAGGGGAAGGCTTGCAAGCCAAAGAACACCATCCCAACCGTGAAGAACGGGGTTGGCAGCATCATGCTGTGAGGGTGCTTTGCTGCAGGAGGGACTGGGGCACTTCACAAAATAGATGGCATCATGAGGAAGGAAAATGATGTGGATATATTGAAGCAACATCTCAAGACATCAGTCAGGAAGTTAAAGCTTGGTCGCAAATGGGTCTTCCAAATGGACAATGACCCCAAGCATACTTCCAAAGTTGTGGCAAAATGGCTTAAGGACAACAAAGTCAAGGTATTGGAGTGGCCATCACAAAGCCCTGACCTCAATCCTATAAAAACTGTGTGGGCAGAACTGAAAAAGCATGTGCGAGCAAGGAGGCCTACAAACCTGACTCAGTTACACCAGCTCTGTCAGGAGGAATGGGCCAAAATTCACACAACTTATTGTGGGAAGCTTGTGGAAGGCTACCTGAAACGTTTGACACAAGTTAAACAATTTAAAGGCAATGCTACCAAATACTAATTGAGTGTATGTAAACGTCTGACCCACTGAGAATGTGATGAAAGAAATAAAAGCTGAAATAAATCATTCTCTCTACTATTATTCTGACATTTCACATTATTAAAATAAAGTGGTGATCCTAACTGACCTAAGACAGGGAATTTTTACTAGGATTAAATGTCAGGAATTGTGAAAAACTGAGTTTAAATGTATTTGGCTAAGGTGTATGTAAATGTCCGA